GGTTCATCAGATCCCAGCGCAAAGGTAACTGGGCATCTGTTTAACGTGAATGCTCCTCTCTGGGGGGTACTGACTTATCAAAACTACTGTCTGTGCACCGTGAGGAAGTTTGCTGTGAACATCTGGCTGTCATATCTACAATCAGACTGTCTGTCGCTTTGGTGCTGGGTGTCCAGGTTTCCTCTGACAGTTATTGATGGCAGCTCATAAATCCCCATGCTGCAAGGAATTGCTTTGCTGAGCAGGGGAAGCTTCATTTGGAGGGTGGTATATATCCTCCTGCACTTCTCTGGGCTGAGCAGGAGGGTTTACAGGGACCATAAATAAAACTGCCATTAGGATCATTGGTAACTGCCCAGCTCTCTATTCTCCCCAGGGATCTGGAGTTCTGCTGCGGGGAGTAAAGGAGAGTTCTTAAAATTTCCTCAGTTTGGCTGTTTTAGCTTTCCTTTTTCCTTTTCCTTTCCCTGTCTGTGCTTCTCCATTCTCAGGTTTCCTGCTCTCAGAGCTTGATTTATGTCCCTCCAAGAAAGCAGCTACATATTGTTCCTAGGGACTGTGTAGCAAGAGGACTGAAAAGCCCTTTCTCATTATCTGAATGCTTATTAGCAGCAAGGACGAAGGTGTCTGCCGTGATTTGCAAGCAGCAAAGACCTGCAGGTCCCCGCTTTGTTTCTAAGTGTCCTGCAGAAGGTGTCTTAGAGAAGCGACTTTATTGTCAGGAGGTTCCAGTCCCTCTTCGAGGTCATGCCCCACCGTGGAAACTCTTTTTGAGGCTGCAGATCAGTGGTTGGAAGCCCCTGCTCCGTAGTTGCTGAGCTGCTCCTGGGTGAATGTGGTGGGGAAGCAAACAAGGGGCACTAACCGCCCTGCTCCAGCACGGCCGCCTCGGGGCACCTCAAAGCAGGGAGGGCAGCACTGGGTCCTGGGCTCCGTCACAAGTGACATCCAGGGCTGGCAGGAGAGAGGGGGTTACCCACAGTGGGAGCCTCACTGATTTCTTCTTTGATCTGCCTTTTGTTCTGGAGCAGTCCTGGATGCCACAACAAACCCACGCAGATGTCCCGGCACAGAGCACTGCACTGGCGAGGTGCTGCATGCTGTGTTCCCATCAAAGCAATGCTCTCTGCTTTCAGGACCATGAGCAAATTGTTATAGTTCCTGCAAATTCACTGGATTGTGAAGTGTTATGTTCTGGGAAGAGTCACTGCCTTGCTGTGTAACTGGAGATAAAAGCAGCATGGGTGCTGCTATGGTTTTGAGTGAGGAATCAGGGGCCAGAGGCATGGAAACAGGCTGACCCTGTGAGCATTTAATAACACTTGTCCACCACGTGATGAATGATAAGCAGCATCAGCCCCATCCAAACCACCTGTTTGCACCAGCTGCCTGATAGCATCAGGGTGGTCACCTCCGTCTGGGTGCTCCTGAGTGAACCCATGCCCTGAGAAGAAAGGTGGCACTTGCTCTTGCCACCCTCCCACTCCAGTGCTGACCCAAGGCCTTGTTGTGGGCCGCTTGGGATGCTGCAGCTTCCTGGCACGTTGATCACAGAATCACAGAATGGTTGAGGTTGGAAGGGACCTCTACAGATCATCTAGTCCAACCCGCTGCTCCAGCAGGGACACCTAGAGCACGTGACATAGGGCGGCATCCAGGCGGATTTTGAAGATCTCCAGAGGAGACTCCACAACCTCTCTAGCAGCCTGTCTTTGTGCTTTGTCACCCTCACAGTGAAGAAGTTCTTCCTCATATGGAGGTGGAACTTCCTGTGTTCCAACTTACACCCATTACCCCTTGTCCTGTCACCACAGAGAAGAGCTTCCACACACGCATGGACTCAGGTGACAGCTCTCTGTGTCATATAACTGGAGTGGGCTGGTGGCATTAGGTAGGGAAGGTCATTTCTCACACTACATTCAGCTGGAGGTAGCACAGAGCCACTTTCTCTTGCTCCAAGTTTCTGGGGTCTGTCACCAGGTTGCCTACAGCACTGGGCATCGCTGAGCAGGACTGGGATGGTGGTGCCAGGTTGGAGCTGCTGGCAGTAGGAGGAAAGGGGCAAGCAGGGAGCAGTGCTCAGCTTGTGAGACCTATGAGGTTGTCTTCACCTGTAAGCAGCAATCTGCAGGCTCAGGGGTGAGGGCCACATGGGCTGTGATGTGGAGAGAAGTTGTGAACTGCTGGTGAGTCTCTGGGATGGGACATCCACCTGGAGCCTGTTCCTTAATCCTCTTGCCCTAGGATGTAGACCAGCAGGGCAACTCGTTGGATGAGGAGCTTCAAAGAGACATGGGATTTCAGTCATCCTTTGCTTGGGCAGAAAGCCCTGCCCCAAGCCCCAGGCAGATCTGCAGCCAATGCTGATCCCCATGCCATTCTGCTACTTTACAGTACCATGAAGCTGCTCCAAGTGTTGTGGTAAGCCTGGGACCTGCTTGAGGATTTTCCCAAATTGCCAACAGCATTGCTGGTCTGACCCCATTTCCCTGTCCCCTAATCATGTCTGTGAGCCTCTAAATCAAAACCTCTGAAGTCCTTCCTAGAACTTGTGGCCCACCCCTCCATCTGGAGCGTCTGCCAGCTGATATGAGGCTGATGTTTCCAGCTGAAGAACTGAAATAGCTTGTTCTTTTCCATGATTCCCTTGGCAGAAGAAAACAAGGCCATTTGTTTAGAAGCTCATAAAAGAGGAGCTTTATAGTGGAGCATTCATAAACTTGTTTGCGTTTGACCTTCTCCGCATTGCTGATGGTCTTAAGTTTTTGTCCAGGCATTGTGCTTGTCTGGGCTGTCAGTGGCATTTTTGAAAAACAGCCTCACCCAGAATAATTTGCATTGCTCAGTGCTCCTAAGCTAATGGTGCAGACAATGCCGCCTTTGCTTCGCTGCAGCCTGGCTGTGGTGTAAAGGTGCGATGCATTGACAGCCTTGTAAAACAGCAATTGCTCCTGAGAAGGAGCATGGCTGCTAATTCCATGTTGTCTTTTTTTTCCCCTCTTAATTAATTGATACTACTCAAGAAATGGGCATTTCTCAGGCTCTCAGGTTAGTATGTATTGATCTTGTGTCACTGGGGAGAAGAATCATGCCCTTAAATTAGGGAAAATATATTCTATGAAGTCAGGCAATTAAATCTTCAGTGTGTGTGGGTCATGGAGGGCTGAAAGGTTTAAGAGAGAGTTTGTTCTGTTTCAGAGACATAACACCTCAGGCACAGTGTGCAAACTAGGATAGCTGCCTTTTACACGTAGAGATAGCAAATTGGGAATGCCTTGGCCGGAGAGTGGGACCTCAGATTTCAGGTGTAGATTCAGAATTTGGTCCTGGAAATTGATATTTTAGGTGGATGAAACTCACTTGTTTTCCACCTATGCATTTAACATCTGGGGAGGGAAGAGTTCTCCAAACTGTGGCTGTGGCTGAGGCTTTGAACTCCAGTCTGGAATTACAAGATGTCAGGGATATCTGTCCATTTCCCAAGCTCTTCCTTGTCTTAAAGTCTGTTATTTTTGCTTTGGTCTGATCTTGTCTTTCTTGCATCTGTAGAACTTTAGCATGAGTTCGCAGCCCAGACTAAGGATATTACAAACTGCTGGACATGGAGCCCTACAGACATCCACCAGCACGTGAGACCACCTGGGGCACGTGTCCGTGCAGGCTGCCCAGTTCTGTTATGAGCAGCTTCAGAAAAGAACACCAACTTCTTGGTGTGTGATAGGAAAGTACATGTATCCAGTTGTTACAAAATCTTCCATGTTCTTTGAAATACATTTTTATTGGGTACTGCAGTCCGATTTAAAGTAATTCCTAGATTCAAATTGTGGGCATGGCACAATGTTGAAATAAATATGTCTCATCCGGTTCTGAAGTGGTGGTAAACAAGACACAGCTGGCAGGAGATATGCAACTAGTTTGGTCCTAATTTTTCTCATATTCCCACTGTACTTGTCAGCATAAAATATTTCCTTTTTTGTTTATTTTTCTGAAGACAAAAAAAAGGGAAAAGAAACATAAGGCTGAAAATCTCCGTAGTGGAATCTAAGTGAGACACCAGGATGCCAGAGACTGCTCACATCAGCACCAGAGAAGACAGGAACATCATGTTTTATTAGCCTTTGCAAGCTGTATCAATGACGAGAGTTAATTGCAATTATTGGGAGATAATGTTAGCACATTTACTTGTGTAGCTACCATCATTCCCATTGGAGTCAGGTGAAATGAGCGCTGTTCTAGTGCCACAGGTCTGCAGTCCACTCCAGTGGGAATCCCAGGCTGCGCCCCGCTCCATGCTTGCCTTTGCTGGTCAGTTCTCCTTTACCCGGCATTTGTGTCAACGCTGCAGAAGGACATCTGTGTAGGCACAGTGTTCATGGCAGCAGGGCTGGTGTTGGCTGCCCACACCAAGCTGTTCTGTGTTGTACATTTCATTCCTCTGTGGTTCCCTCCCTTCACTCTCGTGGCATCCTCCCAATCATATTGTCTGCATTCCCGTCATTTTGTCTCTGATTACTGATTCGACTCTTATTATTATTAAAACCTAACATGTTGGAAATATATGCAATCAAGTGTAATTAGTATTTTCGACAGCATTCCTAGCTTTGTGCATCTGTCTCTGTTAGACTGTAATTTAACACCTGGTTGTCCCATTATTTGCAATATGGGGAAGGGAGGTTAAGGTGTCTGAGGTGAGCGGTGCTGCCTCTGAGCCCTTTCCGGAGCCTTGCCAGACCCTTGGGAAGAGCTTGCAGCTGCAGTGGGGGCCAGGCTCTCACCCGTGAGGCCCTGCAGGATGGGCAGTGTCCCTCAAACCAGCAGAGAGCCTCTGCCCATCCACTGCTTTAAAAAATGACAAGGCCGCTGAGTGCAGGTGGTAATTCTGTCCTGAAACTGGCTTTCCACAGGACCTTTTCTTTCTGTGGTTTCTCCAAGCATTGTTCTTCTGCAGAGAAAGTGTCGCCTGATTAATCCCCTTTGTGTTCTTTGCCTTTGTTCCTCAGGCCCATGTGTTCGATCTGAGTGTTAATAAGTATGAAGCTATATGCACCCAAGTAGTGGTGGCCAAGAAGAAAAACAAGATAACCCATGTCCGCTTTAACCCTGTCTACCCTGTCGTCATCATTGGAGATGACCGAGGCCATGTTACCTGCCTGAAGCTTTCTCCCAACCTGCGCAGGATGCCCAAGGTAAGGATGACCAGCAATCCTCTGACTGAGGCACTTCATCACAGCAAGTCTCATGTTGCCTCCTTGCTGTCACTTCTTCTGTACAACGAGCTTGGCAAAGCTCCCCTTCAATGCAAGCCACTTCACATTACTCCAAGCCTTTCAAGTAGAATGTCTGGGTTGCCAGGTTCCTGCCCTCTGTTTGCCCAAGTAAGAAGGCTCAGTTCCCTTCTAAGCAGGTCCACGCGATGGTGGAAAGAGGGTTTGCGGTTTGTGGGACTTGTTGTCCTGAGGCGGGGGGTTGTGAGAAGGCACTTTATCACTGTACTCCAGGCAAGCCCACAAGCTCTACAGAGGTTCATATTTTTCCAAAGCTCACATCTTTTCTGAACTTGGGTTTTATTTGCAAAACTCCTTGGAACCAGTTAAAGAGGTCCTGACCCCTCCCAAGTCCTCCTATGTAGCCCATGCTGCATGTCCCTTGTGCTGCTGAATCATCAGTTTGTCCCCTGACCACTGTGCATCACCCCTTCATACTCATGAGAAGACATGGGATCTTCATCTCAAATGACAGGGTTGAGATGCACAAGCCCTTTTCTCTTTTTCCATGTGGCCTTACAGATCAGTCATGCAGGATGCTGACCTCCCCTCAGATTCCTTTATTAGACTTTCTTTCTGGGCTTCAGCCAGCTGTGAGCTGTATTCCTGTAAAAGGTAACCCCCTTTCTAAGCCCATATAATCTAGTTGTTATATTTAATGGACCATTTTCAGTTTCAGGCTCTTTAGAATTGATCCAAGAAAGCAATTGCTCAGGATGATCGCATCTTATATGTACATCCCCAAAGGCTTTATATACTCTGCTAGCCCTCTGTTTTAAGCCTGGTCTTGGGCCAGAAACTAATCACCCAGGTGTCAATCCAGAATGTTTTGATGGATTTTAAACAAGTTCCTTCAGCCGGACACTGCTGGAAATGAAAATCTACCCTGTGCTAAGAGAGTATAGAAAACACAGGAGCATGGCAATCTGTGTGGGGATGGGGTATGGGAGCCATGGAGGAGACTGTCCTATACACATCAGACTTTTATTTCCATCGAAACCCAAGTCCAGGACCATCAGAGCTCTCAAGGTTGCCATCCCTCTGGCTCTGGTCAAGTTTCCTCATTAATTTATGAGTCCTTCCTGGTCATGGGTCAGCTACCGGGTCTGTCAGTGGCCTTGGTTTCACGAGGATTTCCCAGTGGGGACTGGCCACACACACTGCTTTCCTCTACACTGAAAGCAGCCAGCTGTGCAGTTAGCACTGTGTGAAAATACTGCACAATGGGTCAGAAGGAATTTGAATGTCTACTATGTGTAGGTATGAATGTTGTTATTTCTCAAAATCATGTTCTTTTGCTAACCTGTTTCGGAGTTGAATTGCATGTTGTTGACTAGGCTGTTTAATCTGACCCATGAGTTCAGGAATAGCACAATCACTGTTGACCTTAAATGAAAAGGTAGCATATCCCAAACAATGTATAAACTGGATAGAAATTATGAACTCTGCTGCTCTGATGTTATTAAGCTGTCTTCTACTTGCTTGGCTAGGTTTGAATGGACACTGAACACTGAATTAAATATTTCCTCCACGTGTAGAGGAGGAGGAGGAGGGGTGTTTAAGCATGGCTGCTGATCTGTGCACATTACCTGGCTAAAGCTGGCTTTTTCTAAAAGTGACAAGGACCCTAAAGCCAGGTGACAAGCAGTGGCAGCAGCACTTCAGTTCAGGCCCAGTCAGCCCAGCCGCCGTTTTGTACCATGAGCAGACAGATGAGCAGGGTTGCTGATCCCTCCGATGCGCTCATGTGGCACCAGCAGCACCAAATGATGGCGACAGATCCAGAACCCTTTTTGTATCTGGCTTAGTACCTGGATACCACAGTGTGGCTTCTCTGGTACTTGATCACTGCAGAGGCCTTGGGAGAAACCTGCTCGAGCCCCAGGAGGAGAAGCTGCAGCTGGTGCTTCCAGAGGTAGCGGCTTTCTCTGCTCACCCTGATGTCTGTGCTCTCTGGTGATATTTCTAATGGCCCTTTCGGAAAGGAGAAGGTGACTTTTGTTGGAGGCTTGGCAGAACTCAGTGTGCTGATGTGACATGGCAGCCGGGTGCCTCGTCTGGGTCTCATGTCCCTCTGTTTGCTGACAGTGTCAAAGGGGTTTGGCAGTGAAGTTTCCCTGCCAGCTTCCCACACAACTGGGGCAGCTGCTCCTGACAGATATGACTAGCAGACTAATCAGCCTGTGGAGAGAGCTCTTAATAGCCACATGTCACTCCAAACCTGCTTTCTTCCCCTAAAAATAGATGCAGTGCTGTCTGCTCCGTGTTCTGTAGATTTCCTTGGCAGTAGCTGGGGTTCCCAGAGAGGACTCACCAACGAGAGACTTAGCTATCTTCCCACTGGGATTTCAGACATTCTGAACTTATTTTGGCTTATCTATTAGTTAAAGTCAGTGCAGTGGATTAGCGGGTATAAGGAGGATGGTTTCTCATCAGACCTTGGTTTATTCCTGTGTTCGTGTCCTTGAGAGATAGCAGGGGAAATTCATAGAATGCTTAAGGTTGGAAGGGACCTCTAGAGATCATCTAGTCCAATCCCCCTGCACACGCAGGGTCACCTAGAGCACGTGGCACAGGACTGCGTCCAAGCGGGTTTTGAAGATCTCCAGAGAAGGAGACTCCACAACGTCTCTGGGCAGCCTGTTCCAGTGCTCTGTCACCCTCACGGTTGGTCTGCAGCTTAATTAATTCACGTCTGTAAAACACTTTGGGATCTTTCAGAAGAGTTGGTTAACACTTGAGATTTTTTCAGTCAGTAGCATTGGTGCAGCTCCATTTATGAGCACTTTGCAGATCTATAAGCCAAAGGGGAAACTTTTTGAAAGTTCTCACGTTGTTTTTTCAGAAGTGACTTTCTCCAAGACAGATAGTAAAAGCTTCAAAACCAGGCTAAGGTCCCATCAGCTCCTCATGAGCTTTGGCTTTTCAATTCATTCAGTGGCACATGGGAAAAGGTGTCTTCCATGAGCACCCCAGTCTTCAGAGGCAGCTGGGGACAGAGATTGCGCACTGGGATTGAGGGCACATCTGTGTGCAGGGGGCAAATGTAGATCCCTCTACACAGGCCTGTTGGCTCTGCCTCGTGGCAGAGGATTTGCCATCCAAGTGTCCCCAGCCTGGTCCTGCACTGGGAGTGCTTCCTGTCTCCCCTACACACAACCTGCAGCTTGGGGTTCCCCCATGGGGAGCACTGGTGAAATTGGTTTGGATCTTCTGCTTGGAGCTCAAAACTTATGTAGAAAAGCTTGCATTATTTTTCAATGAAGCAGTAAGAGCAAATAGTTCTGCTGTCACGCTAGCCACTTTTGGACTCCACATTCTCCTTAAATACTGTTGGGCAGGAATTGCTTAACTAATGAAATACTGCTCTTAATTTGCAATAACCTTGGCGGCTGAGTTCACCTGAGAGAAGCATTGCTGTAAGAAGAATGAGTTTGAGGCAGAGCTGTTTAATTAGCAAACCTTTCTGGCTTCTTTTCATTTGGGGGTTGGAGGAAATTAAAGCTTTTTGTCATCGCAGTCGGAAGAATGTAGCTGCTCATGGACTTTGGTTTGTTTTTTAAAAAACGTCTAGAGTCGCCTGGCACAGGCTCAGTCGATGCCAGAGGCAAACAGGAGACAATCAAAATAATGTGCAGAGTTTTTAGAGGTGTAACAGTTGGGAGGGCACGGTGGAGCAGCAGCAGAAATGAAAGCAGGTCAGAGAAAAGTTATAATGAAGCATTTGTTTAGGCTAAGAAAAAAGCATTTGTTGAGCGTTGGTCTGTACCCAGGCTCGCAGCCAGGGAGGTAGCTGGCCTCCTGGTCTGATCATTATCTTGAGGATCTCTGTTTCTGTCACTGGTTTCTTTATATGCAAGTCACTTCTCTCTGTGTCCCTCCGGGACAATCAAGTTACTTCCCAGAGAGTAAATCTTTAGTGACAGGATCTAGCTGTGCCTCAGGCCCTTTGTGGCTGGGCGCTAGGGTCTGGGAGGGATCAGGCGGGATTCAAGCGGGCTGGATTGGGTGATGCTGAGGTTTTCAGGAGGTGAAGATGGGAAGACGGGTTGGGGAGGATTGATGAAAGTGTAGGAAGATTTAGGGAGCCATTAGGACAGGGGCTCAAGTCTATTTTCCAATCTACCTCTCCCTCACTGCTTTCTTCGCAGTTTTCTGGGCCCAAAGACACCCGCTCCTCTTGCACCTCAACAGGGCCCACAGCACTCAATACTTTTTGGACAAAGGATCCTCTTTTTGTCCCTGTCTCTACACTGCTTCAAGAGGATGCAGCTCAGGTCCAGAGCTGTCACTGAGCAAGGACAGTGTGAATACAGGGTCTGGTGCAACCAGCTTGCTGTGTGCTTGATCCTGAGCCTCACTGCTGTGTAGCCATGTGCTGCTGGCATGAAAGGTGATGGGACAAAGAGTTAAGGACCATGAGTTTAGGTTTTTCTTTTTTGTCCCTTAGTCGTGTGAGCTGTTTCAGTAACTGTGTGGGATGAACTGACTAGCAGTCAGAGAAGGAGCTAAACTCTGTCGCCTCTGTCCAGGGAGGTACAGTCCATTCTCCCACCGGACAGTCTTTATTTGCAGGAGGAGGCAATAATTAGATAGGCTCTACAAGGCCATATCAGCTCTGGACTGGTGAGTAGTTTGGCACTGGGAGAAGTACATTTTGTCCTCAAACTTTTTGTTTTAACAGCTCTCGAGAGATATCTCTCCAAAACCTTGCTCCTCTGGTGGTGTTATTCCTAGTCTCTCTGTTTTCATGCAAGCAGCTCCTCTGTAGCAGAGATTCATACAGTGCCTTGCGTGTAGCTTGAATGATGGCTGATTTCTCTGTGTCTCTTTGGGGCAGCTATTTGTTCAGTGACCCAAGTGTCCCAAGCACAGCAGTGCTGGAGGAACTGAGCCTCGGGTGCTGCTGGGCATCATGTGCT